TGTGGGAAACCTAAAGTCATAATCCTGAGTGAAATAAGACCGGCAAAAACAGGCAAATAGTGCAGTCTCCTTTACACAGAGTCTAAAAATGGAAAACTCTTGGAAACAGACTGGAGAAGGTTGTTAACAGAAGCTTCAAGGTCAAATGATACAGATTCTAGAGAGTTAATTATCACCTAACAATGTCGTGATTATACTTAATAGCAATGCACTGTGCTCTTGAAGTTGATAAAAATGAAGTTATGTGTTCTTGTCACAAACACATGACAAAATAAAAATCTAATATTTTTTATGCAGAATAGAAGCATATTACACAGTTAATTTTCTTCTTAAAAGGAAGTTCATGTTTTCTTTTAGTTTGTACAAATACTATTGTGTTCTGGTAGCTAACAGCTTCAGCCCTGCCTCCATTCCTAAGACATGAATCAAAACAGCTCCCACCTGACACGGACTGTTGTCTAAATCACCCCAATAATGCCATATTTGTAAATAAAAGTATGGGATATAATAAGGATTATGTTAGGACTCTCATTATGGCATTAACAGTTCTATAAAACAAAAGCTAGGAGGGGAGGTAAAGGGAAGGACTCTACAAACATGCATGGAGGAAGATCATATGAAAGCACAGTAAGAAGCCAGGTTGGTGTGCCTGGAAGAGAGCCTTTACCATGACCAAGTTCACATCATCTTGGCCTAACAGCATCTAGAAAATGGTGAGAAGCCAGATTATATGTTAAGCAGTCCAAGCCATGGTATTTTAGTAAGGCAACTGCTGCTAAATTCCTCCCCGGAGGGAGAGGTGAATAATATCTAGCATGTACTCTTCTGATACCAATGATAAGCTCAAGTACAATTTCACCAGACTTCACTCTGGTGAACCAATGAGTTTATTAGGCTTACTTATAGAGCAATGGTAGAGGTTACATGTGGTCAAGAACACAAGTAATTTTAAAACAGCCACATTAGAAGGTCTACACTCAGCATAGATAATGACTCCTCCATGGCTATTGAGATGGAGCCCTGCCCCCATCCCTTCCCCTTCTATTCTAGACCCATTCCGAATTTTTGATGCTACATGTAAAACTTAGGAAAGAATTGCATAAAATTGGTTGAGAGCAGTGGATAGTCAGAAGAGGGGCCTATGACCTTCTCCATCTAGTCATTGGTGAACATATGCTTATGTCAACAGACTGAATAATAAAAAGGTCTTTAATCGTTTCATAAATGTAGAATGTATTTTTGATAAAATTTAAATGCATCACAACCTTAAAATCTTAACAAATAAAGATGGATACTGCACCACAAATTATCCCTCACATTGTATATAATTCTAACCAAATTCCACCTTCATAGTCATGAAACTTTGCAGTGTATAATAAAATCTCTGTAGATGGTAAGAGACCAAGGATATGATGAAATTGGGAAAATTTACCTTACGGAACATAGACACTGACTCTTGGAGAACTAAAACACTAAGGGTCAGAATAGAGATTACTGAATTAGTACCCACAGTTCCAATTATATTGGCTGTTCTCCATATATAAAGATCAAATTAGAGCCTTCCCCACCTCCAGCCTTAAATTCACTTTTGAGTAATTAATAACTGTGAACGATGTAAGAATAAACATTGGAAACATGGGTAAATGGGTAAAACTGGGCATCAAGAAAATAAATGACCCAATTTTAAATAGGGGTACAAACTAAATAGAGATTTCTCAAAAGGCGAAACACAAACAACTGAGAAACAACAACCACCAAAAAACTGTTCAACATTCTCAGTCATTAGGGAAATGCAAATAAAAAATGCTTCAAGATTTCATCTCAGCCCAGTCAGAGTAATGAAAGAAACGACGGCTCATGCTGGCGAGGACACAGGGAAAGGGGGATATTTATTCATTGTTGTTGGGAGTGCAAACTTTTACTGCTACTATGGATGTCAGGGTGGTGGTTCCTCAAGAAGCTGGGAATAAATATTCCTCAAGATCTAGTTATAGCACTAAAGAACATACATCCAAAAAACTTTCATTCTGCTACAGACACTTGTGCAACCACATTTATTGCTGCTCTATTAATAATAGCCAGAAGTTGGAAACAGCCTAGTCCATCAATGGGTGACTGGATAATTAAAATGTACATTTACACAATAGAATATTATCTGGCTTAAATAAACAAACAAGATCTAAAAATCATAAAACTTGTAGGTAAATGAATAGATCTATAGAAAATCAAACTGGGTTACTGAGCAACCCAGATCCTAAATGACAAATATTGTATGTCTTAATTTTAAGCATTTGATATGGATGTCAGCTTTTAAGCATTTGATAGATAAGCTACAATTCATATTATCACAGAGATTAGGTATAGAGTAAGGGAGTGGAGGAAGGGTTGATCACCCAAGGAACTCGAAATAGACTAGAAGGCTATAGAGGGACAGGGAAGAGATTGGAGCAGGAAGATTAAGCGACAGGGAAGGGGGTGAGAGAGGGGGTAAAGGTGGGAATATGGGAAGGGACAACCAACACTAAGGATGATTTGAGGAGAAACCTAATACTGTAGGATCTTCTTATATATACATATATGAAAGAATCCTAAGTAGAGTCACCAAGTAACAGGGGAGCCAATGCCCTGACTAGGTGTCCTTTACCACTGAGTGAAACATCTAGTGCCATAACCAGGTGGGATATTAGCAAATACCTAATCAAGAGGCTATCATCAAGTGACAACAATTACTTCTGTATAGTGGAGTCTTATTTGGTGTAACAGCCAGACTTACAAGTAGACTCCATGCCCTGCAGTACATGGCCAACAAAAAATGAACTCAGTGGTATTTTTGTAGACTTTTGTCTCATGTTTCTTTGTTTGGCATTTTTTTTTTTTTTTGCTTTTGCTTGTATATTATGGTTTTCAATTATTTTGTTTTGTTTTTATGTGGATGTTTCTTGTGTTTTTTTATTTTTTTATTATGTTTTTATTTTTTGCCTTTTGTTTGCCTGTGTATTTTCTAAAGGGACATAGAGGGGGAAAAGGAGTAAAGTGAATGGGTGGGAAGGTAGGAAGAACCTGGAAGTGTTGCGGGAGGATAACCGTGATTGGAATATATTGTATGGCAATTATTTTTCAATTCAGAAATATAACTATTCTCTCAAGGATTATCATCACATAATTAAATTAAACCAATGTAATAACTTTAATGTACTTTAATAAAAAGAATGTGGCGGAAGTCTTCATTTTCAGTAAAAATATATTGTATAGTTAGAGACGTATGCCTAGATTTAGTTGTATAGCAGCTGGAGATGGTAAATAAAACTTGAAAGTGAAAAAAAAGTCTATGTAATTTTGTAGCCAGAAAACTTAGTAAATGTAATAAAATTGAACTAAAATGTCTCTAATATTAAATTCCTGACCTCTAGAATCGAAATCCTGGAGAAAACACAGTGTTGTAGCCTTTGAAAATTAAGAAAAGGGCCCTTAGAATGAGGTCCAATGATGCTTGCCTCCCTGAGGCACTTCCAAGACCAGGAAGACACCTGCAAGAAAACAGGTACTTTCTCTACCACTGCCCATTACTTTGCATCATGCTGGATCCAGGTGGGTTAATAAAATTGGCAGAATACGAGTAAATGGGGGAAATTTTCATATGGATTTCCTTTTACTAAATTCATATTAATTTCTCCTTTATAATAGGGCATGGGCCAAGAGGTATCACAGAAACATGTACTTTCAACAAAAAGCTCAAGAGCTGAAGAGATGGCTCAGTGGTTAAGATCATTGAATGCTTTTGCAGAGAACCCATGTTTGATTTCTAGTACCTGTATGGTGGTCCTGTAGCTCTAGTTACAGGGAATCTTACGACCTTTTCTAGACTCTGAAGGTACCAGGTGTGCACACATTGCACAGACATAAGAAGGTGCAATGCACTCTTTAGTTTATACCTGAAAACTAAAAACATTAATAGAACCAAACAAAACAACGAATTCAGGTGACAAAGTAAGCTAAAGAATAATTCCTAAATTTCAGTTATCTATTCTAATCTAATCTAATCTAATCTAATCTAATGTAATCTATCAAGCCAGCCAGCTCATGAATTCATGGATGCATATATATATATTCCTTATATACACTTAAGAATATACACACAATTTGACTCCTAGCACACTGTGCTAATAAACAGACTATAAATAAAGCCATGGCTCTCTCAGTAAGAAAGAACTTATTTATTTTTATTTTAAAGTACTATGTGTAGTGGTGCATGCCTTTAACTTCAGTACTTGAAGGACAGAGAAAGATAAGTCTCCATGTGTTTGAGGCCAATCCTGGAGTATATAGCAAGTTTCTGGGTACATAGTGAGACCATGTCTTAAAAAGATGACTAAAAGAATATGAAATCATAAGGTGATTATATTTTAGATACAGAAGCCATATGTGTCACCCATTCCACTATTTTGTATATTCCTACAGTTAAACTTACAATATTATGGTTAAAATAGAATGCATGAAAATCAATGGAAGTATTTGATGTAAAAGAAGTGACTTGTTGAATATAAATGCAAGCATCTTTGTTAGGAAAATGTCTTCCCACAACTGGAAAACCACAGGCTCAGTTGTTCCCAGCTTTCCCCTAGTATGTACGATGAATGACTCTGAAGAGTGCAGAGAATTTAACTACCAACAGTAAGACAACAAGGAGTAGGTGAAGCAGAGAGAAAAAAAGATTAAAATTTCCTTGGAGTGCTATATTTAACAGTCTTAAATTGGAAGTCACAAATATTTAGCCAGAAGAGAGTGGTTAAGTAAATTGTAGTACACTCAGACACAAAAACATTTAGGAATAGACATGAGGTATTTGTGTGCTAGCTTCATTTCTGTGGCTGTACTAAAACACCCTGACCAGAGAAAGGGTTTATTTTTAGATCACAGTTCCAGGTTACAGTCATCCCTTTAAGGATGTCAAGCAACTCGTCACCACATGCACAGCCAAGAACAGACAGGAACCAACGTACCCATGCTGCTTGCTTGTTGCTTGCCCCTTGTGCTGAAGCTTTCTTCACTCTTCTGCTCAAGACCTTGACCAGAAAAATGGTTAATCAAGTTACCTAATGTAGCTTCTTACTGAGACCTTTTTTAAAAGGTGACTCCAGGTTATGTCAAACTGACATTTCCAGTTAATCAGCACAATTAATTTACAACGATAATAGTATGCAATAGCGGAGCTGAATCTCAGAAACATAATTTTGATGGAAGAAGCAGATACAAAACAATTACATAGTTTACATAAGTATAAAACCAGGTATGAAAACAGCCACAAACAGGTAGGATATATTCAGCTTGATAGTATATCTGCGGGGTGACTAGAAAGGAACAGATAAAGACTTTGTACTATTAGTATCATTTTTCATATTTATATTTGTATTTTTTATTTTTTTCAAAATTTATTCATTATATAATCCCAATTGAATGCCCCTCCCTCAACTCCTCCCAGTCCCACTCTCCCTTTTTTCATCTCCCCTGTACTCTTCCCCTAGTCCACTGAAAGGGACTTTGCCATCTGCCCATAGCTTATTAAGTCTCATCAAGACTGCCTGGATCCTCTTCCTTTATGGCCTGGTAAGGCTCCATTGCCAGGGGCAAGTGATCAAAGAGAAAGCAACCGAATTCATGACAGAGGCAACCCCTGCTCCCATTACTCAGAGACCCACATGGAGACTGAGGTGCCAATTGGCCTCATCTGAGCAGCGGGTCTAGGTCCTCTCCATGTATGGTCCTTGGTTGGTACATCAGTCTCTGCAGGGCCCCCTGGGCTCAGATATTTTAGCTTTGTTGATCTTCTTGTGGGGCTCCTGTTCCTTCTGTCCCACCCCCCTCTTCTTCCATAAGACTCCCTGCCCTCTGCCCAAGGTTTGGCCATGAGTCTCAGCATCTGCTTCTATCCCCTGTTGGGTGGAGCCTTTCAGAGGACCCTTTATAGCAGGCTCCCATGCTGTTTCCTCTCTTCCACCGCTTCTGGTGTCTATCCTGTTGGTCATAATGTCCAAAACATATAAAGAACTCAAGAAATTAGACACCAACAAACCAAACAATGCAATTAAAAATAGTGTACAGAGCTAAGCAGAGAATTCTCAACAGAGGAATATCGAATGACAGAAAAACACTTAAAGAAATGTTCAACATCCTTAGTCATCAGCGAAATACAAGTCAAAACAACTCTGAGATTCTCTCTTACACTGATCAGAATGGTACTTATTTTTTAACATACTATTTTTGTTCATTCTTTGAGAATTTCATAAATGCCTACAATGTATTTTGATCATATTCACAAATATCCCCCTCCCTAAATTCTCTTGGCTTCACTACCCACCTTCAAACTTCCTTCCAACTTCATGTTCACTAAAATTTTATTTTTAATATGTATTTTTAAAACATGTTATAACCCACTAAGTCCAATTTGTACTACCCAAGTTGATACTACTGTTATACAATACCAGTATATTGGTTTAATGTTTATCAGTGATTTACTTGGGGCAAGGGTATTTTTCACACATGTGGTACATACAGGTGATAGCTGAAAAAAAATTCTCAGGAACAAACTGATCAACAGAAATAAACATTATATAGAAATCTGGATTCTTTTCCTGTCATTTAATAAATGTCTCATAAAATTGTCTGAGATTCATATGTTCTGTGGGGGAAAATGTTTGCTCTGTTTTTTTTTTAAATGGGATTGATTAGAAGTGCAAATAATGTAGAATGACATAATATATTAAAAGAATGATGTGTGCTGATAACAAATTATTAGGGACACACCTGAGTTAATAAACTCAGCACTGACAAATCATTTAAAGTATATGGGAATCCCAAAATAAATGACCCAATATTTTATTTTATTTTTTTAATTTTTTTTCTATATCAATTTTTATATCAGAGTAGCCTACAAAAGTTTACACCCACCATGACACATAGGTACTGCAATTGTTACTATATTTAGGCATGTAGAATAATGACTAACATTTTGATAACTGCCAGATAAATATTTTTTCTTATATTGTTATTCACACCAATATTTTAATGTAGTTTATCTATATCAAGGATAAAGTATAGCTCCGGACATTTAGGAAACAAACACAAAATTTCTGCCTTACTTTATAAAATAACGTAGAAAGAGGACATGAGGGTGGAAGGGGCAAATGTTAGGGATTCAGGGAGAGAGGAAGGGAGCATTTGCGGTGAATATATTACATACATGTATGAAATTGTCAAAGAATAAGTTTGTTTTTTAAGAAGATGAGTGCCGGCTCTGTGGAAGTATGTCTTTTGTTTTGTTTTGGAACTGGATAGCTCCCAAACTTTTACATTGTGTCAAAAGAAGAAACTTGTTCTGAAAAGCTTAGTCGACATGTATTAATAACTGACTGGCAGAGAGCAGTTTAGGAGACATTCGATACCTGAGAGGTAAGGGGGCATGGGTGAGGAAGGCCTCCATCAGCTAGCTGTCCTGAGTACACCATGCTCAGTACTTTCACTGGATGGAATGAGTACCTGTAACCCTAACCATAGATGCTTAATCATTTGTATTGTTACTCTTTTACTTGTCTTTATGCTTCTCTCCACTATAATGTATCATCTTTAGCATTGGTGGTTCATGACTTCTGATCCTCACCATTGTCTCATCTCCCCTCTGCCACATTAATAAAGCATTGCAGGTTGTAGATAGCCACAGAGCTACCAGTAACAGCCTATACTTCCCCAGGGCCTGTCCCAACTAGCTGTGGCTTTAAGACTAACCTTTAGCATTGGACTTAGTATAAGAGCAGGATCTGGGACAATGAAGTTGCCTGCTCTTCATTGCTGGCTGTGTCATTTTTGCAGATTACTGACCTTTTTTTTCCTCATCTTTTCTAAAGTATATCTTAGAATTTTTTTTTGTTTTGTTTTGTTTTTTTAATTTTATAGCTTTCTTAGCCTGTTTTCTGATGGTCCTGGAATCAGGGCCATTATAAGTGGCATCATCACAGCCTTGGATGGATATTCTAACTTACTGTGTGTGTGTGTGTGTGTGTGTGTGTGTGTGTGTGTGTGTGTTTGAGACTGAGTCTCCATATGTCCATATGTAGTACAGACTTTCTTTGATCTTCCTGTGTAGCCCAGGCTATCCTCAAGGATTAAACTCCTTCTCTGCCTCCTTAGCATAAGGTTATGGTATGTTTCACTATGCCTGCCCTTCCTTGATTTTGATGAAGTGTATAAGTGCATAAAAGGTCTACTTTTTGCTGATATGAAGAAATAAATACTGGTTAGCTGTTTTTTGGCCATGGGCTTCATCATCATTCTCCAAGAAGGAACGTAAACTACAAATGTTCAAATTAAGTATCTCCTTTCATCTTTCAATGAAAAACATTGTATCAATATGAACTTGAATATTATTCTCTGATTGAACACTTTGGTAACTGCTTATTTTTATTGAGACCAAAACGAAAAGCTCATGCAAACAAGAGAACTACTTATTGCTTAAGACCACTTGTCCCAATAGCTTACCAATAATAAATGTTTACATTTACCATTATTTCATAAATAATTTCTATAGTTCCTAGAGTAGATTCTGTATGTTTTTCTTGGAAGATAATTGAAATGACATTGCCTACTGAGATAGAGAGTTACAGAGAGAACAGAAGGTGCGTGCAACTCCAGAGAAGTGGTTTTGGCTTGGCTTTTGGAACACATGGCTGAAATTAAAAGATGAAAATTGGCATATATGTCCTGAATAGAAGTAGACCTTCAGAATGAGAGATAGAGATACTTTATAATGTGACAAAAATCTACATCACAGAACTCAAAAATGGTGACCTATAAGTACTGAATATAGAAACAATCTTTTCTGTTTCCTGTTACTCTGCAGTTCTCTTTTGGACTGTTTTAAAGACTTTTTAACCATGAAAAATTAGCTGACACACATAACATAAAATATTAATAAAGTAAAATGATGTAAAAATAAAAATATGTTGTGAAGCAACATGGGAATCCACACTGGAAGTCTGCTTCATTTGAGTCCATTAAATGTGTGTTTAGAAATAATGTAGTATTAGGCTTGCAATATATAAGTAGAAAAATAATGGGACAATGGAGAACACTATTAAGCTAATATATGAATTGCTGTATAAAAAAATTCTCTCGGGGTGTAAATTGTACAAACTTGAAAATGACATTTAGTATTTAATCTCACATTTCTAAACAGGTGCCCCCTCAGTAGATAAACTTGATTTAGCATACAAAATCAGAGGGTATTTAACAAATAAGAAGGTTTAAAAGCAGTGTTATACATGTAGCTAAACTATTTGTTTCCCTTTAAATATTTGCCCCTATTGGCATTAGGACTATTTTATTTTTATTACAACAAGCAATAAAAATGAATTAAGACTTGTATTAGTAGTGGGACACTTGAAATAGAGCTCATATTTTTGAAATGTATTTAAAAGGCCTATCAGGAAATAGTCTTCACACAGCTTTTGAATACTTTAACAGTCTAATCCCTTTTTGTCAGAATTCTAAGACATTCTAAAATGTTCTAGATGAAATAAATTACTTTAGATCACTGATAACTTTGTCTCGCAGCTGTATACTGGTTCATGTTAAGTTCTGCAAGCCTATAACTTCCAGGAACTCTCACTCCAGAAGGCCCTTTGCTAAGTGAAACTAATTTAGGTTGCAATAACGATAAAGATTTTCTCTCCCTTTGAGGAAAAATGCGTAAGTCAATTTGGGGCAGTGGAGAAAGCACCCGTTCTCAAGAAGGTGCTTGTAAGCTAGCCCAGTACATCAGCGGCCCCAAAGGCTCTCTGACACTTAGCCTACCTTTCTGGACACTGCTGGGCACGGCTGGCCACTGATCGAGTCATTGCCAGTTTCGGCCGCCAGTACCCAGGACCTGGACTTGGAAAATATCTTAAGAGTTGCCAGCCTCTACAACCTCGTGTTCCCTGATTCGGAGCAAGTGCATTCAATTGGGGAAGATCACTTACGACTGAGTTTTTCATCATGGCTTTGACTGTGAAGCCCTCAGAAACCAGGGAATGAGGCTGGTGCACCGCGAGCGGCTGTTGTGGCAGCAGTTTGGTCCTCTTCGACATCTTATCTGGGCATTTGTTTAAAGTCAGGGTCTCTTTTTCTGCCACCATCTTCCTAGAAAACGTCTCGTCCTTATCAAAAGTATGGTAAAAAAAACCAGTGGGTTTTACAGATGTGAGCGGGAGGTCGGGAAAAAAAATATAAAAAGTCGCGTTACTGGTCGAAATTCAACTCCTCGTGGTGCCCAGGGTGATCCAGATGTTTGGCAGCACCAAGGTGAAGGGACTTTAGGGGAGGGGAGGGGCGGGAAGAGGGCCGGGACCTGAGGCTAGAGCCACTACAAGCTTCCAAAGGTAAGCCTCCTGGTTGCTAAGCGACTCGTCAACACTTCGACCCGATAGTCCCGCCCCTCCGTGACGCGCGTTTCCTGGGTCTTAATCCGGAAAAGGCTACTGGCGCGGCCGCGGAGGCAGCTTGAGGAAAACTTTACGCGTTAAAACTACGACTCCCAGCAGGCTTCGCGCTAGGGGAGCTGCGCGTGCGCACTGCGCCTGCCGTCGCGCGGGGAGGGGGAGGGGAAGGCCTGGATGACAAAACCAGAGAGAAACGCTGGTGGGAGGCTCGGGCGGGCGCCGGTGCCCGCGTAGGTCCAGCTCGCCTCGCAGCCACCACCCGCCCGGTGACCATGATAGGTACGTGGGTGCCTGCCAGGTACAATCTGTGCGCCGCCTGCGCCCGCGTGTGGCGCCACGTCACACCCCGCGGGTCCGAGTGGGATCCTCGGGGGCGGACCCGAGCCGCTCGTCAGTGACAGGGCGAAGGCGTGTGCGCCGCGCCCGCCCGCTCTGTGGGCTTCCTCGGCCCGGGAGGGGGCCCGCGAGTGGCCGGGTCCGGCGTGTCCTAGAGCGTAAGCGTGAGTTCCCAGTCCCCACCCCGCCCTTGCCCAGGTTAGCCCGCCGCCCTCAGAAGGCAGCATCCCCGAGGTAACCCCCGTGCACCACTGCGCCCTCCGCTGGCCGGGCTCGCCCCGCCGCGTCAGCAGCACAAAGTTCAGACACTAAGAAAACCCCAGGGAGCGTCCGACGGGTGGAGGCTGCACCTTGCGCCTTCAGTTCCGTCTTGTAAGTGTCACCTCGGAGATCTGAGGTGAAAGAGTGGCGGAGAGTAGGTAATAGCAAAGACGGCATCTTTTCGCAGTTTGACAAGTGCAGCTTCGGAAGCGGCCGCTAGGGTTGTTACAAGCACTGTGAAGCAGGAAGGTTAGAAAGGTCCTCTCTGGCAGAGATGCTAAATTCAGAGTCACTTTTGGGGTTCACCTCCAGGATAAGTAGAAAGGCATATTGGTGTTTAGTGGGCATTCTTGTTTAAAGGTTTTGTTACTGTAGACTCGCTCCAAGTGATGTCCTGAATATTTGGTGAGCTTGTTGGTGATATATGCCTGGCAGGTGACACTCCAAGCGCATCTGACGTCTGTCTGTCAGAGGTGTGTTTAGAAGACAGATGAGAGGTGGATCTATGAAATAAGTGCTTTACACGGTGAAAGTGGCTAAGTATGTTTTTAACTTAGGAAAGTAATGCTAAAGTATGTAGATCTGCCCCACCTCCACCCCTTGGGCATCCTGCCAGGCAGCTAAGATCCTCACTGAGGCAGAGGTGCAAGCTAAATTCTTCCCTTGGTTGCATAGTGCACGTTCTTTGGTGAATGCATTGGAAACTTGCTAAATTAAGAGAAGAGTATACTTTTTTTTAATGAATCTTACTGAGCCTTTTAAGTGACATATACTTAATAGTCCATTGTAAACACAAATATGAACTGAATCTGTGAACCAAGTGGGTGAGATTAGGAAAAAAATTACAAGAAAGAAATTTCTCATATTTTAAAGACAATTACACGTGCTTAGTTTCTTTCAGCTTACTCTAGTTCATGGATGATTTGGAGAAGCCAAAGTTCCCATAAAGCTATTTAAAGACATGAAATTAAGACCTAGAAAGAATCCTTTTTATAAAGAATCTAATAAGTTATTTTATTAAAAACTTTAGAATGGAACACATTTAGGCAGTTTTATTTAGATTTATCTGGGACTCTCTTGTGGATGACAAAATTAAATCAATTAGTGACAGAGCCAAGAGAAATACAAGCTGAGTTTAAAGACTGTTCTTTCTCTAGCTACTCTTTTTGCAGGGTGAATAAGTGTGTATTTTAACACAAATGGCTAAATCCTTGTCCCCTGCCAAGGAGTTTCCATATTAAAACAAACAAACAAACAAACAAAAAAACAAAACTAAATAAATTAAATTAAATTAAAACTAAATAAATTATTTCTTTCAACTAGTTGTGTTGCCTAATTCTATTGGTAGCCATATTTTTAGTAAACTTCAGTATTGACAGTGAAAACAATTCAACCTGGAAGAAATAGTTTTGCCTTTTTCTGACTAATCTTTGGACCAGGAAACAAAGGCAGACAGTCTTTATCCTTAGGTCTGCTGCAGATCAAAGGAAACATAAATAGCTCTAGGAACTGAACAGTTTCTTCCACTGCACAGCACTGCTGAGACCGGTCCTTTTATACTTAGACTCTCTCTGTTGCTGTATCCTCCCAGTGCAGGCAGTACTCTGCTCTGCTAGTGAAGTCCTTCCTTCACTAGACTTTCCTATGGATAAGTTTCCTGGCCAAATATGAGGAAGAACTTACCCCAAAATTAATTTTCCCTTTATTGTTTTAAAATAGAGGGTTTTCTTCTTGTTGTGGAGATGGCTTCAAAAGTACTTACATTTCCCACTTGGATTATGATTGACGTGTTCAATGCCTTGACCCAGACAGACTTAAACCATAATATAATTGAAGTCTATGAAAGATTCTTCCTTTGTAAGGCATGGAGAAGGGAGTCACAATAACAAAAAGCAGAATAGAAAAGCTTCAGAAAATTTAACTGAGAAAAAAATGTGTTTTTGAGCATCTCTTTTAAAACTTTTTAAAAATGAGTACTTCTTTGTATTTAAAATTGAATTTAATGGTAACAATTGTGAATTGTTTTAAATGCCCTTTATGGTTAGGCAGTTGATATTATCACCTATTATAATTAAAATAGGAAGTTCTTAAATTGAAACCTAGTGTTATAGAAAATTTTTAAAACAGGAATGTAGCTCAGTGATATATCCTAGGAGGCATAAGACCTTGGGTTCCATTCAAAAGTGTTGTTTTTTTAATTGATTAAAAATATTATTTTCTATATCTTGCTTAAAATCTGTTAGAGAATTTAACTGTATACATATAAAGATCACAGTAATCCTGGCCTATTTTCAATTTTATAATGTTTTTTATATATTTAATAAAAATATATATTAGTTATGAAAGTGTCTTCCTTTCTCAATGAGTATTCACTAGTCAAAAGGCCTTTCTTTTAGAATGCATGCTGCACAGGTGTCTTTGGGGCCCTGTCTTATCTGACAGTGTTAGTATACATTTATTGTCACTTGCCAGTGAGTGTTTTTTTTTGTCTTCTTTAAAGATAAGGGATGGAACATTTTAATTTGAAAACGAGTTTTAGGAAAAGTCATTTATTTTGTAATCATATACGCTCCAGGATGGAGCGTATATTCTGTGTCCGGTACTGATAGTAGGTGCCAAGGATACAAGAATGGAATAAGCAGAAAAAAATGCTTTGTCATTGTAAATATTGAAGTTATATTAACTATTGGCCCAACATCTAGCTGGTTTTAAAACCTGTATACAGAAAATTTGAAGTGTGGAAGTTGTAGTTGAACGTACTGTGTATTGCTACTTGCCCAGTCACTTTGCAACTTTAGATGAAAGCAAGTGTATATGCAGATATTGTTTGTTAAGGTGCCATTGTGTCACTAAATGGGTTACTACACAAAACTTTTGTATAGAAGAGTTTATAAATTTCTATTCAGTTCTTGTTTGGGTCCAAAGGCTCTGAAAAAAAAACTTTATGGCCTTTACAAATGTTGGTCCTATTTTTAAGGTTTTTCTGAAGTCTGAATTTTTTTAAATCTAAAGCTCCATGGCTTGAAAATTATACAAGTGAAAGTTCTTTGGTATTAAGATATGCAAATCCATCCCTACCTCTAAAGCTTCTTTGATAACCCTCCCTCAAAAAAAAAAAAAAAAAGGAAAAAAAGAAAAAAGTTCTCGTTATTTCAGAGTGCTTAATATTCATGAGTCAGGTTCAATGCAAAATGCTTTATTCTGTTAGCTTTCAGTTCTTTGATCAATGAAAATTGTTTCTTACCTGCTGTTTCTTCAGCCTTTAATTGTAGCCCAGTGCTTTTTCAATGTTTCTGTTTTAATTTGCATTTAATGAGCTCATTTAAAATTTTTCTTTGTAGTATTCTGAGTGGTTCCCTTCCTAACATTTATAAGAGTGAAGATGGAGACTCATCTGGCAGCTAGCTGACATATATTACAGCTCCTCTTTCAGGTCCCTGGCTTACTTACTTCATCTTATAGAGGAGAATTTTGGTTAAAAGGAATGCAGTCAACAGTGCTATTTCCCCTAGTAAAGTGTTTCCTGGTCATCTAGGATTCTATCCAACTAATCCAGCCTCCTCAACCTCCATACTACATAGCATGTTATCTTTCTTGGATTATTAGATATTTTACTTGACAGTGATCGTTCCCCATCAGTTATTTCTGCTATTTTCAATGGTGCTGGACAGGAATGAATGTTCCTTGTATGTATATGCGTGTATTCTTCTGTAAGGAAGGACACAGAAATAAGAGACGGTTCTTTCCCATGAGTTCTGATTTCCTTGGGTGATAAGACATCTTTATGGCACAGATTTTATCCTCTTCTTTAGAGAAGCAGCATATGGTATTTATATTCATTCTATCACATGGTAATTGTGTTTTACTATGAACCCAGTTTAGATATAACCTTCATATATGCTACAGAGAGTAATAGAATGAAGGTATAATATGAGCCAGTACCCACTCATGTTCTTTTAGGAATTGATGAACTTCCCAATGGCTAGGCAAAAGAATTTCTTCTTTCATTTTGATGACTTTGCCACCAATTTGTCTTTCTTTCATTCTTTCTTTTCCTTTCTTTCTTTTTTCTTTTTCTTTCTTTCTCTCTTTCTTTTCTTCCTTCCTTTCTTCCTTCTTTCCTTCCTTCTTTCTTTTCCTCCTCCTCCTCTTCTTCTTCTTGTATTATGAATGGTATCTGTCATATGTTATACCATGAAGATTTTCTGTCAAACATTTTTTCCCCCATCATCTTTATTTCAGAGAAGTAACCAAGCAAACTGCTTGTCAATTTTGAGCTGCTGACGTTTTACAGTGGGTTCATATGGTTGCTGTTATATGCCTATAGTTTATTGGGATTGTCTTAGTTAGGGTTACAATTTCTGTGATAAAACTGCATGACCATTGCAACTTGGTAGGAAAAGGTTTATTTGGCTTTTATTTCCACATCACTGTTCATCATTGAAGGAAGTCAGGACAGGAACTCAAACAGGGCAGGAACCTGGAGGAAGAAGCTGAAGCAGAAGCCATGGAGATGTTGCTTACTGGCTTGCTCCCCATGGCTTGCTCAGCCTGCTGTCCTATAGAACCCAGGACCACCAAGCCAGGGTTGGCACCACTTACAATGGGCTGGGGCCTCCCCCATTAATCACTAATTAAGAAAAATGCTCAATAGGTTTGTCTACAGACTGATCTTATGGATA